TTACTATACACGCTTGCGGTGCGGTTCGGTTTTGGTGGATTGGTTTTTAGGATAGAAACCGCACCGCACCGTTGACCTTCGGTTTTTGCAAAAATTAAATCCGCACCATTGGTTTTTGCATTGGTTTCGGTTTTTCGGTTGCGGTTTTGTCGGTTTTTCTTTAGTCGGTTCGGTTTTTGCTCACCCCTAGTTACCTCGCTACGCGGGGGTCAAAAACTTTCAATATTGTTTCTAAATCGATAAATATGACAGACGTAGAAAGTGCAAGGATGAAAATCCCGGAGTTTGCTCCGGACCGTTTTTCATGTTTTTAGGAAAAAATGTAAACGTTTTGACTGCAATGATCAAAAGTTTCAAAATGGTAAAATTAAAAGGGTAGGAATTAACAATTTTTTTTAAAAGGGATCAAAATTGTCAAGCCGTTAAAGTTTTGTGGTCAAACTTTAAATATTAAAAGGTTCCTAAAAATTGTAAAAGTATTGATTGCAAGGACCAAAAATGTCAAAATAGGTAAAGAATGAAAAGCAAAGTGCAATGACCATTTCTGCCAAAAAAAATGTATTCTTAAGCTTCGTATGTATGTATGTATATATATATATATATATATATATATATATATATATATATATATATATATATATATATATATATTTACTACTTATAAAAGAAATCTAACTATTTCTATAAATAGATTGAATATAATAATATTATTTTTTTAAGACGTACAAACGATTAAGCTAATATTACAAACAACCATTAATAAAATAATATTAAATTTTAAATTTGTTTTGATTCCTTATATTTCTCAGCAAAATCCTAATTTCATGGTCATTCAAAATTTAAAACCTTTTCATCCTAATACGCTTCAACAAATATCCTTTAAATGTTGCATTTGCAGCTGATTAAAATATCTCATAGCAGACGTGTGTTTGTTCTCTCCACCTTATAAACCCTGCTATAAATCCCACTGCCATGAAGTATTTCCCTTATAAACCCTAATCGTTTTTCTCCCTCTCTTAGACGAAGACAATGTGTTTTTTTTAAGAAAAAAAGTTTGAAAATATTCCAATTTCTCAAAAAAATTTACCCCAAATGCGAAACTGGGTAAAATTTTCCATTTTGCGAAGACTACAGGGATGCGAAATGAAAATTCTGCACTTTTGTCTTTTTATGACCCCATTTTGCGAAGTTGGACCACTTATATTATTTCTTGAAAAGATCAGGTGCCAAATGCGAAACTCTAAGCTTTCTTCCCCAATTCGCATTTATACATTAAAAACTTCGCATTTTCATTCAAATTCTTCGCATCTTGCATCCATCCGTCTTTGAGTTCATTCGCATTTCATCGCATTAACTGAGAAATTAATCAGTTGTCTCATATTCGCATTTCAGTTGTTTGAGAAACCCAGATACGAACCCAAATGCGAAACCCACTGATTTCAAATGCGAACCAACCAAAAATCATCAACCACGTACTTGTGTCACCAAATGCGAACTGAATATCACCATTAAATTCTCCTCGCATTCCATAGATGCGAACACAATCCAGATCTCCGACTCCAAGCTTGCGAAATCAAAATCAATTAACCTCAAACAAATCGTGAACTTCTTATGCGAACTGTTTTGACCCACAAAACCAAATGCGAACTCAATTGATGTCATATGCGAACTGATTTCATAGATGCGAACACAATTGATTTCATATGCGAATCCACATCCATCGATATGAAACCAATACCAGTTACAAGCAATTAGTAGCAACCATCGATCCTCTAATTTTCAATTACTCAGCCTTCGCTTTTCATACAACCCGTCGACCCTGAAAAATCGATAAACACCAAATGTCTCATTTTTAGATCGATTTTCTGATTAAATGTCATATTTGAAGAATGATCGATTTTCTGATTAAATGACCCCATTTTGCGAAGTTGGACCACTTATATTATTTCTTGAAAAGATCAGGTGCCAAATGCGAAACTCTAAGCTTTCTTCCCCAATTCGCATTTATACATTAAAAACTTCGCATTTTCATTCAAATTCTTCGCATCTTGCATCCATCCGTCTTTGAGTTCATTCGCATTTCATCGCATTAACTGAGAAATTAATCAGTTGTCTCATATTCGCATTTCAGTTGTTTGAGAAACCCAGATACGAACCAAATGCGAAACCCACTAATTTCAAATGCGAACCAACCAAAAATCATCAACCACGTACTTGTGTCACCAAATGCGAACTGAATATCACCATTAAATTCTCCTCGCATTCTATAGATGCGAACACAATCCAGATCTCCGACTCCAAGCTTGCGAAATCAAAATCAATTAACCTCAAACAAATCGTGAACTTCTTATGCGAACTGTTTTGACCCACAAAACCAAATGCGAACTCAATTGTTGTCATATGCGAACTGATTTCATAGATGCGAACACAATTGATTTCATATGCGAATCCACATCCATCGATATGAAACCAATACCAGTTACAAGCAATTAGTAGCAACCATCGATCCTCTAATGAGGAAACAGTTTCCTATTCGATTGTGCTTTGCAATGACAATCAATAAAGCTCAGGGACAAACAATTCCATATGTAGGTATCTATCTTCCAGAACCAGTATTCTCGCATGGACAACTTTATGTTGCATTGTCCAGAGGGGTTTCACGTTGCAATACAAAAGTATTAGTAAAGCCTAACGAAAATTCAAAAGGTGATGGGGTTTATACAGCAAATGTGGTGTATAAAGAAGTATTGCACGATTAATATTTTGTGTCGTCTTGACTGGTTGCTTTTTATTGGTTATTTGATGCATGATGTAACAAATAACACCATAGTTTGATTATATTGTCTTCAACATGTACTTTTTTTTAACATAACAATTTTGTAATGGAAACATATCACCGAAAGAACTCACGTGCCCCGCCGCTTTGCGCGGGTAGACGACTAGTATATATATATATATATATATATATATATATATATATATATATATATATATATATATATATATATATAGAGCCGGCCCAATACCTGGGCAAGTTGGGCACAGGCCCAGCGCAGCAAAGTGGAGGGGGCATCAGTTTAGTCCAAACATGTAGGTATTTTTGGCCCAAAAAACGAGTTCAACATCTCCAATCGGCTGTGTCGCTCGCTTCAACTCTTCAATTCTCAATCCTGCGTCGCCTAGGAAGAACAAAAGTCAAGATGTAAAAGAAGTAGAAGACGATGAGTTTATATTTCCCAATCGTCGATTGGTTAGGACTCAGGAGGACGCTCTTTTTCAGATACGTAATAATATAGCGTCTCCCGATTTTTGTCAAGAAACACTCGAAGAACCGTAAGTTCTCTAAACTTTTATCTCTCGTTTTCTGTCAATAACACAAGAAAATACTTCCAGATACTCTCTACTATCCTGATTTCTTGTGAATAAGGTGATATCTCTCTTTTCTCCTATCTAAAACTCATAAACATCACTTGTGACTTGTGATTTTTGTGAATAAGTTGCTTTATTGTTGTTTTGTAAGTTTAGTAATTTAGTTCTGTTTTGATGGGTCGACTATAGCTCCAATTTAGTAGCCCTACTTCTAGGTGTACTTATAACTTACTTTTGATTTCAGGTGGATGAATTGTTCCCAATTGTGAAAGTGGATTCGAAGGGTACTTTTTCAATTTTGAGTATTCTAATTTTGATGTTATATTGAAGTTAGAGATAGTGTGTGTTTGCTAGCAGATGTAAATGTATTTTTTTCAATTTGATTCTGATTTTTTATTTTCCTCATTCACAGGTCATAATGTCATATCAGATACACACTAGGCAACAAAGAGCACATCTAGAACTTTGAAAACAAATTGTCACAAAATTGTCACAATTTTGTTGGGCATAATATTTTTCTGCAAATTAATTACCAATGCAACTTAAGATGTTTTATGGTTATCCATTTTCAAATCATTGTACTCCGAAAATTGCATATATTCATGCCAAACAAATTTAACCAGAAACATATTTGTGGTCTTTATTCTTTTTTACATGGTATTATTATATGACATATTTGTTAATTGTCGAAGACATTAAACCAGATCCCTTGGCCACACTCAAGATAGAAAATATTGAGGATTACTTATAGGAATCTTGGTATAAATACTTTGTAAGACAAAGGAATGATTTTGTCATTGATGTTGTTGGTAGCTCTAATGAGTTTGTTGAAACAGCTAATGTTAACTATGTAATAAAAATTTATATTTTTGATTCAAAATATGTGTGGAGACAATGTTTTAGTGATGTTTTAAGTCATATGAATATGTACTTGGTCAAAAAAAACTTCGCTTGTATTTTTGTTTTGCAAAATTTATGTTGTCCATGGATTTAATTCAAATATTGGGGCATTTGTATGTTTTTCCGCCCAGGGCATTAAAAACGTATGGACCGGCCCTGTGTGTATATATATATATATATATTAATTGGCCAGTGATTATACCTCTATTATTATCAATTATTCACTAGATATTTTGATTGCATCCTCATTTTTCATATATAGAATTTGTAACTGATGATTAACCAATATTGTTCATAGCTATTTTATTCTTCAGTTGTTTCGGTTAAGAAAACATTTTTAGATATACTACTATATCTACGAGATTTCAGTTCTCTAATCAAAAGAAGGTAAACATTAATTCTTATAGCATGTTTCATTTTCTGTAACTTTTAACTAATAACTTAATATCATTAGTAATTTGGTTTATTATAATCACAAGGCAAATCACGGATATGAAAAGAACCATTGATTCCTTTTTCAAACTAATAGAATATGTGTATGACCTAAAATTATATCTAGTTAGTGATAATACTAAAGATGAATGTAATTCCTATTTAGACAATTTTTTTTTTATGAATTTTTTTTTTAGTTTTACGGTCTCTATTGTGATGTTTTGGATATAAAAATATTTTAATATTTTATTAAGATATAAGTCCTTTTATCCTAAAATCCTGGCTCCGCCCCTGATGGTATGCATGGTCTTGGTTCGTGGCCGCCTAAACCACGACCTCCTCCGTTGCAACCATGCCGGATGGTTTTAATGTTTTATCAACTGGACACGGAACTGGTGAGCTGAAGTTTGAAGACAAGTTAGCGAGTGTTGGTAATTGGTACTTGGTAGTGATTAAATAGGGGGTAAAGTGGAAATATGGAAAAATAGTGGTATGAAAGTGATAATTGTGGGTAGGCCGTCCCGTTATGGACCATGTCACCACGTAGGCCTGAGGGTGGATGGTATCATGGCGGTTTTAGCAATGGAGGGGTTGAGCGGGGTTGACCAAGGAGGATGAGAGAGATCGGCAGGAAGAGAGCAAGAAAGAAAGAGAAGGGTTTGCGGGTTCAAGAAACCTCTGGAGGTTGGAAGCAAAGAAGGAAAATGGGGAAGCCAGGTTGAGAGGGATCCAACTTCAGCGGGTTCAGCAAGATCACGATTCTCTCCACCTTTGGTTTGGCGGTTTCAGCGGCTTCAGTAGGTTAGACGGGAACGATTCCGTCCACCCTGAGAGGGTGAGTGAGGAGCCGCGAGCAATAGAGGTTACCGAGAATATTTATTTATTTATTTATTTTTTGGACGGCGGCAAAAAAGAATATTCAAGTGTTTTTACTTCTTGGAACATTGAACTAAACGAAACTATATGAAAACGAAACGAAACTATACAATCGGGTGACGTATACCCAAAAAGCCAACACCACAATACTTTGAATTTTAATTATATTAAAATTATATTACTCTATGTGAAGCTTTTACCCATTCAAACTTTGGAAAATATAATGGGTTAATCCTATAAAAAGATTGTGAATTTATTCGTATTTACTTTGTAAATAATATTGTAAATAATAGTAACTCGTATTTACATTATAATTTTAAAAACTGAATTATATACAGTCCAGATTTATAATATAAATAAATTTATTTTTTGATTTTATAAAACTAATTTATCAGTTTTTAGTTAAAATATTATAAAATTACATGGAAATATATTTCAAATCATAGGTAAATTTCACTAAAATTAACAAAAAGTTAAAATAGTAAGTTAGATTCAGATTTTGAATATTAAAATTGAAATATTTATAGTTCAGATTCACAATGTTAATCTGAACAAATAATTTTTTTTTTTTTTTTTTTATCGATGTTGATGTTTATTAATAAAGGAAAAGAATTAAAATTTTTGGTATATTTAACTCTTTTGTGATAAAAATAAACCTAAATATTGAAAAAAAAACAACAAAACGAAGTGAGTTATTTTTTTCGAAAAAAAATATGTTTTCTATATATCAATATGTATCTCTTTGGAAAATCGATGAAAAATAATGAAAAATGACATATTGTTTTTTTTTCGATAAATATCATGGCCTAAAAAAATTTAAACGAAAAAAAAATGTGAGTTTTTTTTTTTGTATAATCTGATATATGTGCTTGAGTGTGTCCAATGTATAAGTATACATTCATTCCCTTGGTCATATATCTTTACTACTTATAAAAGAAATCTAACTATTTCTATAAATAAATTGAATATAATAATATTATTTTTTAAGACGTCCAAACTATTAAGCTTGAAGTACAACCCATTTATAATATAATAATATTAAAACTTTAACCTTATCATTTATTCCCTAAAAATCTCGTATCAAATTAATAGAAAAATTAATTTGCAAATTGAACCCGTCAATCTCAACACTTCAGCCATTTGAAGCGGTCAATGTCAACAATTTATAGAGGATCTTTTTTCTCACATTGGTAACAAGCCATCTCATAATATTTATCTTCGTAATCCCTTCAAAGTAAGAAATATACGCACACTCTCTCGAAGAACCCTAACCAGTAACCAAGACAGTATAACCACCACCACCACAGCCGCTCTGCCTCCTTCCGCCTTCAACCAACCACTATCACGACTACCGTCATTCCTCTCACCCACGGCATGAACTTTCTTTTGGAACATAACATTTTTCTTTAAAAAAATATCGTTGAAAGAAACTATTTGTCCCCGCTGCTATGCGCGGGTAACGGCTAGTATATATATATATATATATATATATATATATATATATATATATACCAATGAGAATTGAGAAAATAATAAATCATTTAAGAGTATTATATAATACCTTTTCATATTTAAATATGGTAGATAATTAATATAACAAAACTATAATGGTAATTACACATTATTACTATTTAATTAATTAAGAAAAAGAATAATATCCTATAAATTGGCACAACAGTTAAAAAGTATACGACCATTTCCTTCTAAACCTAGACCCATTTTTCTTTTCAACTACGTTCCAACCTCACTGTCGGTGTCCTTCTCTGTCAACCGTTATCGGCCTCTAGAAGCCATCTTCCGCCTGGTTCTCCGACACACAAGCAAAATCGACGTATGGCGAGGCTTATGTCTGCATCTTTTATTGCTCGTTTCAGGTTTAATTTTTCTCAACTCGTATTTGTTCTCTTCTTATATCAGCGCCAAAGTAACACCACCATATTTGCCTTGTTGCGAGCACAATCAGCCACTACCGCCTTTGCTTCTGTTAATCCCGAGTACGAGAGAAGAAGATAAGTAAAAGAGATACATAAATCAAGATGGAAAAAATTATATTAAATTACTAGCAAACACCAAACACCTATTTTTGAGTGAAGTGTTGGAGAAATATATATAATCTAATGCGTAAACATGTGAGTAAGAGTAAAGAGTAACATACTATATTAAATTACTAGCAATAAAATCAAGATGCGGAAAATCTTAAAAAGGAACAAGGCCTCAATATAATCAACATCTAGCTAGCAAGGTTTCTAGCTAGGAAAATTGATGATGCTAGTCTTAATGATCTTGGACTACGTTTGGAATGGAAGATTGGTTATGTAAGAAATAAACAAATATACACAAACCGGTTTAGTAACATTTGTGCAAAGGAGCATAAAAAGAAGAGAAGAGACAAGTACAGAGCAACATGCTTATATGTGTATTCAAGAAATGTTCTCATAGCATCTACATCAATTAGCTACCAACAAGTGCTATTCTGTAATAATTACCATGAAACCAGTTATCAAACCATGATTTATCTTATAAAATCCTAGTGTAATCAAAGATTGCAGAGAAACTCTATTTGACACAATATGCATGTTTGGATGAAGTGTCAGTCAGCCACACAAGAAACTGATTATGCAAGTCTTAATGATCGTGTGCTATATATACATAATACATTCTGAAGGGAAAATCAGGCTGGGTTTTAAACTCGATTCCTACAAAAACAAAAGGGTCACCAAACATAACCTACACATAGCAAACCATTAATAGAGTATCAAAGACTGTAGAGAAAGTCTATTTGACCCAATATCCATTTACATCTCAATATATTGTCACGATAGACACAGCAGAACAATGGGCACAAACCATGTGGTTGTAGCCTTGGTAGAGGTGGTGGTGTCAATTTCCAAGTTCATGCTACCCAATGCTTTTAACTACCAGAAAAAGGAAAAAAAAAAGGATAGGTTATATAAGATATAAAGAAAGAATGTAATGATCAATCTTAGTTTCATATCAAAATCTTGACGACTCAAATACATGATTTCAGTCGATACAAAACAGAGTATTGTTACGGATTACTACTCTCATGATGTATTTAGTAGCATAGACAACTTAATCTACATCCTTAACCATTTTCCGAATTAGCTACTAAGTAACAAGTGTGATTTTGTGACGATTACCATGGAAAATAGTTGTCAGACAACGATTTATCTTATAAAATCCTACAATACACATTCTTTTGAGTATCTGTGATTGTCATCCAATTCTAATGGTTTGTTAGCCATGAAAATGCATTCCATTCCGACATATATACTTAACATAAGCTAATTAACCAAGAAGCACCTATGTTTGAGTAAAGGCAAGAGCAATCTAATAACTATGATATAAAATCATCTTAGAACCCCCAAGCCCAACATTCTTTAATTCTTTTTCCCCATAAACATAGAAAGTAAACAGAGCAACCAGAAGCCCTAAATTTGGGCATCCCATGCAACACAATGGACATATATAAAAAGCTGACAAAGATATAGATATATAATCTAAGAGAATACCATTACTCCACAAAAAAAAAAAAAAAAAAAAAAAAAAAAAAAAAAAAAAAAAAAGTCCATATAAGCTCCAAAACAACTGAACCAGTGATACTGGGAAATAACTATTTTAGCATGGTACAAAAGGTGTACGTCTTATAAAAGACACATGGTTCACAAGAACAAATCAAAGTTATGTCGTACCCAAGAGAGTAGATTGGTCCAACTAACCTCGAAACAACTAAAACCAAGTGCTTATAAAGAGCTCTCATGGTTCATATCACAAACCTAAATGATATGGCACAAAATGTTACATGGGTAAACAGCAACTTAAATCTAGTTTTATTTGGAACAACAAACAAGGTCTGAGGCAAATCATCAAATAGAGGCCAGGTATACTGCAACTTAGATCAGGTAATAGATATAAAATCATCAAAGACAGAACAAAGATGCCAGAGATGCTACCAAAATGCACAGACAACATATCCTTCCCAAACGAGCAATGATTGCATAAACTGAAGCGGGACCAAGACGGGTTGCAGAAATGATATGTTCGGCTGTGGAAGCCAAACCATAGAAGCAGACTGGTAACAGCTAAATTGGTGGACCGGGGATGTGTTTGGAAAGGAAACTCGGATCCCTGCGACTTGATATCTGCAAAAGCATATAAACAAGAGATCATAAAGGTAAGTGATGATGGGGGCATGATTACAGTTTCTTCCCCAAATGCTCGTGGGAAATAGTTGATCCAAAGGCGACCTATAGGTTCCAGTACATTAAGGATTTGGTCGATGCATTTTAACATAAACGCTATGGCAAAATTAAGAGTGTCCGCTTCTGAGGGTGGTTCTACCTCCACGACTTCGTCGACGGGATTATCGGTGGCGGAAGGCATTTTCGTCTATGGTAAAAAGAAGGGTGGGTTGTGACTTACTGACTTTGTAAGACCGCTGCTACTTTCTTTCCAAAACTTATTTAAATAAAAATAGTGCCATGATTAATATTTGACCAAAGTGTGGTTTGACCCGAGTGTATGAATGACGAAAGCTAATTTTGGGTCGTCTATGGTATGGTAAATACAACTTTATTCCTTTTGTTTAAAGTTTATTTTGACTTCATATCCTTTTTAGTTTTAGACAATCACTTTTAGTCCTTATAGATCAATACAAATTAAAACTATCCCACAATATCCTATGTTTCTAAACGTAGAAAAAAAAAAAGAACAACCTTTTTTTATAACCAATTAGGTAATTAGGTGTAAGATTCATGTATTAAATGATTTCATTTTAAAGAAAAAAAATAAAATTCTAAACATTTGAGAAATTTAAATTTATAAGAAAAAAATAGAAAAATATTGAATTATTAAAATTAAATTGTTTGTTTTTTTTTAATTAAACAAATAATTTAGATAAATAAACAAAAGAAACTAATGAAACTTTAATTTAGAAAATTTGAAATTAGAAAGAAATCACTTAATGAAATTGATACGTATTTATTATTATATTTATTCAATTATTACATTTAAATATTATGTGGAAATTAATAAAATAATATAAACCACAAAATGTCATGTGAAAAAAAAAATTGAAAATAACCACAAAATAACATGTGGCCAAATCAATGAGAGTGTAACATATGGCAAAAAAATATTTATTTATAAAGTATGATTTATATTTTAACGGACCAATATTTTCTTTCAAAGCGATTGTTTTAACTTTCTTTTCTAAGCCTAAACATCAGTTTTTATTACGAAAGTTAAAGAATATAATCATGCTTTAAGAACATCATTATGCGAATCTGTTGTTAACCAAAATACTCGCACCCGTCCTTCTTCAAAGAATAAGTTTTTTTTTGGAAAAAGCCATGTTGATCCACCTTCAAAACCTAACAAACAACGCATGCGTTCTTGTTCGCCTCCATTGGAAAATGTTGAAAAAGATATTCCCATGTACCAACAACCAGCAATACATAGTACTCATGCATATGATAAGTACCCTCAACATCGATGCATTAATCAATTTCCAAAAATAGTTCTTCCTTATATCACATAGGTACAAGATGTTCTCAGTGATAGAAACTGTGGATTGTTAGCGATAGTTTTATGTCTTGGTTTGAAGGAAGATGCATGGCCTAATATTCTATACGACTTAATTGAGGATTTAAAGAAATACAAGGCAGAATATGTTGGCATGTTTGGAACCGAATAATGATCTCATAATTACAACGATTTGAATTTTTTCAGCAGTCCAGCGCCTAAAGAATATTGGATGATAACGTTACATATGTATATCTTCATTGCTTCAAGATACAATGTAATGCTACATTTTTAACTATCACAAGAAGTTAGACATACCTACCACTTCGATCTATTCAACCAGTGTAGTATGAACGTGTTGCCATAGCAATTTGATATGTTAATAACAATCATTACATCAAAGTTACATTGGATGAAGGATACTCGATGCGTATTATCACGCTACAATGGCATCATTTCAGGTACACTTGTGCAACATGACGAACTACTCCTTATAAAGATCGACTACGTGTATGTGATAAGTTTTTGGCCACTAATCGTACTCGTGAACATGTTGTTTTAGACAAATAAAGTTGTAATATATTAATTTTTAAAGTTGTAATATGTATTAGTATATTTTTTTCATTTGTTAAAAGCTTAGTATGTTTTTAGTTTAATATTTATTGTTACATGTGAAATTTTATTCAATTTAACCGGTAAACCAAACAGAATAAACCGTAACAGAATTAATCAAAACCAATTAACTAAATCTTATTTGGTTTAGTTATGATTAGTTTTAAGTTGTAAAACCCAATTAAACCGAAAATACAAAAAAAACACGACCAAATAACACTACTAATTAGAAGTCACATCACTATGAAATAAATAAATAGAAAATTAGATGATTTTTTACCGCTCGATTATATAACAAAATAGGTCTAAAATAACATAAATCTTAATATTTTCATTATCTATTTAATATATTGATAATAATATACATTAAAATTTTAATAAATAAGAGGTATTAATTGCAATTTTTATAAAAGTATAAAGGATGAATTTAAAAATATTTAAGTTATTTAAGAAAGTAAAATTCATATTATATAAAGATATTATTATTATATTAAAAAAGAAATGAATGGCATGTGAAAGAACCACCAAATGGTTCGTGAGTTTAAGTTCCAATTCGTATAGAATTCCCCTTTACTTATTTGCTGGACACGGAACTGGCGAGCTAAAGTTTGTAGACAAGTTAGCGAGTGTTGGTAATTGGTAGTGATTAAATAGGGGGTAAAGTGGAAAATATGGAAAATAGTGGTATGAAAGTGAAAATTGTGGGTAGGCCGTTCCCGTCATGGACCACGTAAGCCTGAGAGCGAAACGAAACTATGGAATCGGGTCGGGTGACGTATACCCAAAAAGCCGACACCACAATACTTTCAATTTTAATTATATTAAAATTATATTACTCTCTAGTCTCTACGAAGTACCCATTCAAACTTAGGAAAAATATTACGGGTTAATCATATAAAAATATTATGAATTTGCTTAAATTTATTTTTGTAAATAATAGTAAATCAAATTCACATTATGAATTTTCAAAACTGAATTATATACGTTTCATATTCATAATATAAAAAAACTTATTTATTGATTTTACAAAATTAATTTACCGGTAATCAAAACGTAAAAATATTACAAAATTATATAGAAATATATTTCGAATCATAAGTAAATTTCTATAAATTAATTTGTGAATGATCAAAAAGTTAAAATAGTAAGTCTGATTCACGTTGTGAATATTAAAATTCAAATATTTACAGTTCAGATTCACAATGTGAATTTGACAAATCAAGTTTTTTTTATCGATCTTGATGTTTTTAATAGAGGACAAAAAAATGAGATTTTTGGTATATTTAGTTAGTTTTTTTTTTTTGATAAAAATAAACATAAATATTGAAAAAAAAACAATAAAATAAAGTGAGTTTTTTTTTCGAAATAAAAAATTGTTTTTTATATAACAATGGTATATTCGTTTTTTTCTCAATAAATAACATAGCCTAAAATAATTTAAACGAAAAAAAAGATGAGTTTTTTTGGTATAATCCTGTGTATGTGTGTCCAATGTATAAATGTACATTTATTCCTGTGGCCGTTAATCATTATGATTTCCAACGCTCGAGGTTGATGATTTAGCTCCTTGTTAATAGCGGTTCTCTATTGAACCTTACCTTATATATATATATATATATATATATATATATATATATATATATATATATATATATATATATATATATATATATATATATATATATATATATATATATATATATAGGAGTAGGATCAAATGAAAACACAAAAAAGGTTGAGAACGCGAGAACAAAGTATAATACTCATGTGATTCCATGTATTCATTTGTGGAGAAATGATAAATTTTTACGTTTTTAATTTCAATTGAAAAGAAAAAGCATATTCATGTTGATTATGTGTAAAAATTTATCATTTATCCACAAATGAATAAATGGAATCATAAATGAATATACTTGTTCTTGCGTTCTCAACCTTTTAGGTGTTCTCATTTGATCATTTCCCTATAATATATATATATATATATATATATATATATATATATATATATATATATATATATATATATATATATAGGTTCATGTGTTTCTAGCATCTATTGTGTACTCGTACGAACAAATCTAGACCGACGGATGGAATAGAATCAATTGTCATGATCTGAATGTATAGGATATTATAGTAGGGTAACATGTACCATATCATGCAAATTTCAACATAATAGTATTTTAGTTAATTAACCTATATTAATAAAGGAAAATTTTGGATTTTTAGGGATAATTAAATCTCTTAATTTTAAAGTTCTGGATTTTTTAAATCAATTCAATTTTAATTATAACATAATTTTTTATAATAAACCGAATTTATTATGTCATTCTGACAGAATGTCAGCTATAAACTCGTAACGATACTTCCGATTTATTCTTACAAAATATAGTTCCACTTCAGATATTTTTTTATAATTAACCGTGTTTAAGAATTCTACATATTCTTCATATACATCCAAGTCAGTCTATGATTTTATTCGTCATATACATTCGAACTTAAATACTAATTAATACATATTCGTATACACTAATAGTCTTATACATTTTAATATAGTTATATAGATTCTACCAGAATATCATCAAAAATGAGTAAATTTCTTAAGAAATAGAATTCTTAAATATACAATTATTAAACAAATTCACTTGCTTCTTCAATGGTCCATTTGATTCCAACTATTCTTACGAAAATGTGATTTATTATCGTAAAGATGTAATTCTTCGCAATATAATTGATGTTGAATTCGATTTCAAGTCTTTCTCTTGTATGATTAATATTTGATTCATTATTAGAGTCATTCTGAAAGAATAACATGCATTACTTGTTAGTATTATCAGTTAAACAAATATACTTGTTATTAACAAGGTTATTAAAGACATTCTAACAGAATTCATTTATACAAATAAATTCTAACAGAATACAGTACAAAATATCCTATGAGAATACATATACTTTATTCTAATAGGATATTACTTAGAGTCTAATAGCTATAAAAAAAAACATGTTTATTATGCAAGAATGATATCGTAAATATTCTCCCATAATGGTTTTGATTATTCTTAAAGAGTATGAAATTAATGCAAAGAAAATAAAACTAAATCATCATGTTTATAGAATAACAAACCATAAGCAAAGCTAATTAAAATAGAGAAAATAAAGACCTTATTATACTAATACAAACCATATTAACGAAATCACATTGGCTAATTTTCAAATGGATATAAAGACTTATCAGTGGATATCATGTGCAAATGAATGGATGAAATATTTTGTTCAAGCATTTTAACAAACAGCTAGTGGGAAAATTCAGATGTCGTTTTAGTCTAAAGCTAGATGCTAGTTTAGGGAACAAGAAAAATCAAAGTTTTATGTTAATCCAGCCTATTAA